AGATTAAAACAAATCTTTTAGTGCTCGCAACAAATAGGGCATATATTTCTTTCGACCCTTGGATTCTATCAATTTGATTTTTTTTTTTTTTATTTCGTCTAGAAATTGAATTCATTTAAGCATTTTTCATCTACGTTTATTCGAAGCCAAACTTAAAATAGCGCATATTACAAAGATGAAAAGAAAATCCAATTAGTCTTATATTTATTTGCTATTTACATGGGAAAGGTAAATAAATGGGCATATGTTTCTGTAATATGTAATTTCGTCGACAACAAATGAATATGCCCAAAACCTCCACTTATTTCCATGGCATCCTAATTCCAAGGAAAACAAATATCAGAACTATTGGTAGCGTAATTGAATTTGCAAGGACCCATGGGTATTATTGTCCACGCAACGTCAGGATGATCTTCATTGTAATCTCTCTCGCTAATGAAAGCGTCAAAGTAACGAAGGTTGGATTGCCATACAAAACTACAGAAAAATTGTGTGGTTCCCCAAAAATTAGGTCGAAACGTGAATCCCCAAGTACCTTTGTTGGGAAGAATTTGTTCTCCAAGATCATCATCCTTTGACTTGCAATGAATTTTGAGATCAATCCCTGGAGCTATGTCGTTGGAGATTACAACATGTACTCTGCGTTTCTTGAAGAAACCTGCCTCACTTGTGGCCATTAGGAGGAAGAACATTAAGAGCACGGACTGCTTAAGAGGAGAAACCATGTTTCCTTTCGTGGGATGGGATGGACAGACCTGAATAACTGGGCGTTTCTTATTTATAATATAGGGTTAAGGGAGAATAAAGATGCATGCCATTTAATCGGTAATGTCAGTTACAATGCCATTTAACCTTAATTTTAACATTTGCCATATGCACAGGATATTGCAATTTTAATATTTTTGTGAAAATTCAAAAAAATGAAAGCTCAAGGAAGTAATTGCAAAAATAAGCCTTAAACTTCTTATTAAGTATATGGTTTCACGGCAACAAATTTGGAGTACTGTTCATTGTTTTTGTCTTCTTTGTTTCTTTTTTTTTTTTTTTCTTACTGTAGATCAGAGTCGCAGTTTTTGTTTCCTCTTTTATTTACGGTAAATCTAAGTCACATTTCAATCTAACGACAGGTTTCCTATTATGATTTATGATAATTTTATCCTGTTTGGTGATGAGATATGGTTGTTCGTTTCATTTTCCTATTCTTTGATATGTGGTTAGAGATATATGATATCAACCAAGGTAGAGTCAGAAAATGAAGAGAGGGGGTGAAATTTTTATTCTAGTCTTCAATCTCAATTTTTTTTTTTTTTATCTTTCAATCTTAAATGGTTTTTATGCTTCTAGTTAGTCTTCTTAAGAATCTTAACAAAATTAAGAAATTAAGAAATGAATATATTTTGGTATTTTTTTATTAAATGAATCTATTTTTTAATGAAAAAATATATCTTATAAATATCAATAAAAATGGTATTAGGAGACATATGAATCATAAATGATCATCTATAAATTTCTATAAAAACTTATTCAAGCTATTATTCTATAATTTTAAGTTTTATAATTTAAACCCTTGAATTACTTTTATGTTCACTAACAAAATAAATGGAAAAACCCTTACAAGTAATATCTAACCAAATAAAAATCCCTATTTTTCGGTCATTAGTTTCCTTGTTTATTTTGCTCCCCAACATTAATTAGACAAATATTGCCAGTGAAATCTGAAATTTTTGGTAAAATATTTACTGTACCGTCTGTGAATCTTGCTATCCCTTCTCCATCGTTGCTAGGCCAACCAAAGCACCACTGACCCACCACAGCCACCACTCACCGCCGGCCATAACCACCCGCTGCTTCCTTTTCATTCCAAAACACAACATCATTTGCATCATCACTTCTACTACCTTCTCCAACCAGACCTACTTCGCCAACACCAAACCAGCCACATCCCATAACCTGCACCCTCCCAAGCCTCCAGCTTCCTTGATCGACTTCGACAGCAGCACCATCTCTACCTCCATTGCCGAAAGGCTCAGCTAATTGCCCATTGCAATGCCCAACCCATTCAAGTCATCCAGCCTCTGCCCCAAAGGCCCTCCCTCCATTGAAATCAATCTCGCACACCTTACTTAGTTTGACGTTGCAAAACAGAAGAAAAATGCTGCTCTTAATTGAGAGAAATCCTAACCCTAGGGAATAGGGATCAGCTTGGCCATTAAATAAATCCTTCGGTAAAATGAGAAACAACGACTCACTATGCTAGTAATCAAACAATAAATTAACTAATTCAAATGATTTTAAAATTTTACTCTCTTTTAGTTTTTTTCTATTCAAAAGGCTACCAATGAAGTTTTTCTCTCGCCGCCGCTAGGGTTTCCTCGCAACGGTCGAGCCCCTCGCCTAGGCGCTTCTCTTTGTTTTCCTACAGGGCTTCTCCCCCGGTTTCTCTTTTTGTTTCTTCCCATGGCTCATCCGCTTATGTTGGCTTGGACTTATCGCAATCTCGGAGAGGTTTATTTGATTTTTGAGTCAACTCAATCGTGCCTCCAACAAATGCCGAACCTTGCTTTGCTCCCTGCATCACAGCAATCGAGGATGGAGATGATTTTGTTTCGAATAGATCTAGGGTTGGCTCACTGTTTCGTGTGCAATTGTGCTGAGAGAAGGGGTGGCTTGAATCTGTTATGGCAGGATGAGTTTGCCTTTCAAATTTCCTCTTTCTCACCATTATTAGATCTAGGGTGGGCTTTGCTGTTTTGTGAGCAATTGTGCCGAGAGAAGCCATCTCACATTGATGTTGTAATAGTAGATCCGGGTGGATGTCAATGGCCATTAACAGGGTTTTCCGGCCAACCAGAGACGGATTCCCCTTTGCTTTGGCTGCGTTTAGGCACCATCAATGCTACCTTGAGCAAATCGCAAAAGGAGAGGGGCATTCTCTTCTTCCGGTTGGGTTCTGTGTGGGGGGATATAAGCGGGTTTTGGTGTGGAAGGTCAAATTTCCATGTTGTGAAGGAAACTGATGGTGTTCTGCAAGGGCAGTATGGCCCTCAAGCTAGTAAAAGGGCTTTAGATCCCTTATTAACCTATGGTAGCCAAGGATTGTTGAGGATTGGAACAGATGGGCATATGTTTGGGTGCACTTGTAGACGAATAGGGTACTTGGCGACTGCACAAAGGAGGACCATACCCCTCCTCTTGCTTATTATTTTTTAAGAATAGCTTGGATGGCAACTTATAGTTTGGGGACTGTTTGTTGCCAAAATCCGTTCTCTCCCCAAGAAGCTGGTTAACTAGGTGAGGATGTCCAGTAGCTTTCGATGCTCATAAGGACCTTCCTTTCTACATTAGTAGCCCTATTTAGCTCATACAGTGATTGCAATTGCAATTTCTAGTTGCAGATTGCTCTCTTTACTTAATTGTCTATATTCGTTATGGGCATAGTTTAAATCTGTTACTAGACTGTAGGTTATGCTTCTGATTCTACTTTTTAAGCTCTCATGCGTTAGGCTATATGCCATGTGATGGAGTTTTTACTGTACGTTTCTTATTATTCAATATATTTCTCCATTTCTTATAAAAAAAAATTTACTCTCTTTTTTTTTTATCTCAAAATATTTAATTTTTTTTACTGATTTGTCTTTAAAATTATCTCTCTCTTTTTTCATTTAAAAAATTAAACAATACGAAAGAGAGAATATGTAATTTAACATTTAGAAATTAAAATTATTAATTAAATAAAAATTCAATCATTTTTATCAATTAAAATTTTTGTTAATCAAACCACTTTATAAAATAAAAGAAAATTGTAAAAATAAAATCTTAAAAGAATTCAAAATTTTTATAATTGAATGATTAATTAAAATAAATAAATAATGATAAGATTAAAACAATAAGAAAATATTATATTTATTTAACTTGAAAAAAATAAAAAAGTAACTAAACTCAGATCTGATCAGAATGAGACTCCACGTGTTCCTTATTTATCCTAGGATATATCCGATTATTATTTTTTAGTCTACAGGATATTGTACTTTCTGTTTTTTTTTTTCAAAATAGTTATTAATTTAGAGATAATGATTTTATTTATTTATTTATAATATTCTTTAAAAAATTATTAAAAATAAAAAAGAGATCTTTTATGATTAGATAATTATTTAAAATGAATAAATAATGATATGATTAAAAGAAAAAAATATTTACTTATCTTGAAAAATAAAAAATAATAATTAAATTAAAACAAATTTAAAATTAAAAAAATGACA